AGAGAGAGAGAGAGAGAGAGAGAGAGAGAGAGAGAGAGAGAGAGAGAGAGAGAGACTCTCACCTTGTAATTCTTGTGTTTCAGGCTCCTTGAAGGACAGAAAGGGCTGAAAGTGGAAAACAAGGCCTTCTTCTCCCGTCTTACTTTCTTCAATGTCTCTGAGCAAGACTATGGAAACTATACTTGTGTTGCCTACAACCAACTAGGAAACACTAATGCTAGCATTATTCTCTACGGTAAGTAGCAAATAAGTTGATGGATTCAGATGGCACTGGGATTCACAGAACTGTTGAATAATGTTAGAAGAGGCCATTTAGGTCATTGAAGTCTAATTCCCCCTTTACGATAGGAATCCAAATTAAAACATTCATGACAGATGGGTCTCGGGTTGGATATACCCACGGAATAATCAGCATTGTTCTGTATAATTGGCTCAATTGTCAAATTATAAGGGAAAAGGAAGCCTAGGTAAAACAAAGGAGGACCTGTTTATATGGAAAGCTATACAAAATCAGAACAGATCAAGACACAAACCGGTTTAATAAATTAGTTTTTTAAGATGTGATTGCTCAACAATAAATAGGTTCTCTCTTGTCATCTTACACTCAATCTGGCTTGGATAAAAGACACCTTACCTCATTATTTCTACAGTTTAAGCTTTGACATAAGATCTCAGAGGATTTCTCAATGTAGGGCTTCCAGTAAATACAATTCTGAAATACCAGATGTCTCCACCAGCATAGAGAGTTTAGGAATAAAGCAGTCACTTGATGGCACAAAATCAGTTTATAGACCAATCCTTCCTTTAGCCATTTTTTCCAATATCACATGGGTCATAAATAATGACTTCACCGTCCTACTTTTCTCAAATCATCAACATTCTCCATCCGCTTTTCTCACGGATTTTAGAACTTTATTATGGTTGTGCAGATAACTCCCCAGAAGTAATCATTATATTATTGTATCATATTGGTATCTCATCCATATATTTGTAGCAGTTGGACAGTGTCATACGTCAAGTCTTTCCTTTCATCCCCAAATAGCCTCTAGGGATTTTATTACGGGGATAAAATTAGGAGGAACTTTGGGTTCAGCTGCTTTGAGCTCTCTAAGAAAAGGCAGGGTGTAAATGCAACAAAAGAACCATTTTTTCTTCTTCTACATTGTTTCTGAACATCCTGCCTAAAAAAGGATCTCTCAGTTCATCTTGATTTCCCACCCCCACCCCCCCACCCCTCTGGAAGTAGCAAAGATGTTCTCTAAAGTTTCAAACTGAAAGCTGTAGGACTTATTTTACTAAAAATAGTTTCCCTTATTGAAATGGTTCTTCCTTTCCACTCACTTAAAAAGAAGACTATTTTCCCATCATGGCAGGGAACGAAAGAAATCTGATTCCATGGGCTACTAGGCATATAAAATAACTGGAAAAAATAACCTGAACCGATGAACCATCTGCAATCAAGTCAATGTCAGAAACAGCTGCTTGCTAATTTTACAACATGAACAACAAGGGTGTTCCAGCTCGGTGACTTTAAGTCCTGTAGACTTCAACTCCCAGAATTCCTAGCTGGGGAATTCTGGGAGTTGAGGTCCATGTGTATTTTTTAATGTTTTATTTGTTTTAATTATTACTTATTACTTTGTTTTATTTATTGATATTACTTTCCATTTCCATCAAACAGTGTGTGATCTGGGTACAGTTTTTTAAACAGTCATAATCCACATATTTATTATTATATTTGTCACAATGAATAATGTAACTATGTGTTAATATAATTGCAATAATACATAACGTCTTCATCGTCAAATTCTCTTTCACATTAACATTTCCTCTTTTTATATCTCCTCCTTTCTAACTTCTGTTTCTATTGTCTAACCATTGATAAAATACATACCACGTCAAAAAAATATTCAGTTTCTTCTTCATCCTAAATAATAAGCCTTAATCTGTCCATTTCTGCATATTCTAGTTTTTCCCCGAATTACATTCTCATCTGACGGAATCTCATCATTTTACCATTGTTATGCAAATTCAATTCTGGCTGCAGTTAGTATATGTAAAACCAGATATATAGGTTTTTTTTAATCATATTTTCCCGGTAGGATGCCCAACAAAAATATCTCTGGTTTCAAGTCTATATGCTGCTTTATAATTTTTTTCCCCAACCAGGTGTGTATATTTGTCCAATATTTTTTAGCTTTTGGGCAAGTCCACCACATATGATAGTATGAACCCAATGGTTGATTACACTTCCAACATTTGGCAGGTCTGTATACATTTTAGCCAGTCTTGCCAGTGCAAAAGGTCATCTATAAAACATGTTATACAATTTTTCTTTATATGCAGTTGATATAGTCAATTTGACATTTCTATCCCATAGTTTCTGCCATTTATCTAACACTATTGTGTATCCAAAGTTTTTAGCCCAGGCAAGTCCACATGTCTTAAAGTAGCTGAGGTTGGACACCCCAATCTAAAGTCCCTGAGTGTTGTTTTTGTTTTGTTTTCTTTTAATCTCTTCTCTCTTCTGGATTTAACTGGTCTTTTCAACTTTGCTTCTCTAGTCTTTGTCTGCAAAGTACCAAGCAATCAGTAGTGGGTTTTGGCTCCCGTTGCAACTGGAGCTGGGCATGAACCATGGGCACGCGCACTGCGTACATCCACCGCCTGCAATGCTCTAGCTGTTTGGCGGAGCGTTGCGCAGGGGCCATACCCTGCGTGCGCATGCGCTGATGGCTCGTTTCCTTCAAATATAGGTAAGGAACAAAAGCGGGCGAGCAGGCCCTCCAAAGCACCGTTCCGGTACGGTGGCTGCTCTTTCTGGCGGGCACCGGTACGTGCGTACCGGGGCGTACCGCCTGCAACCCACCACTGCAAGCAATATGCTAAAAAAGGATCCTGTACCCTTAGATCTTTGGTAAAATGTTGCTATTAATGATAATGTCAACAAATCCAGTTAAAACACCTCACAACATAGGATGTTATGGTGTCCGCCTCCCCTCCCCGTTCCGCCAACTTCCTCCTCCTGAAAGATTATTTCCATAATGTGAATTCTTCACATTTTTGGAAGTTCTGGATATCTCATTTTCAGGAATGCTTTGGAAGTGTTCTGACCTAGGCTTTCTGAGAAAGCATAAATCACAATCTTCATCCCAAAAGCCCTCTTTTATTTATACGGCTGTAAATTATAATTAGCAGTCCACAAGTCTTCACAGTCTGTGAAGGTTCCGACAGATGTCTGCTCGAGTTGCCACAGTCTTTCAGGGGAATGTTGATAAAGACTCATCTTATCTCCCTGGGAATGCTGCCAGAGACCTAATTGCCAAATGCAGAGCAAGGCCAAACTTAGCACGGAGTCAAACAGAAGTTTTCAAAGCTTGAACCGGCCAGATGAACTAATTGTTTCTTGCAAAAGCTCACATCCCGTTCGCTCCTCTTTTGTGTCTTATGGGAGGGGACAATCATCTCCAAGCCTTCCTCCCAAGTTGACCCTGTTTCTTTAATTCTTCTTGCCTTCTGGCAGCTCTGTGCACACACACACTGGGAACAGGCTCCCGCTGTTCTTCTGCCTCGCTGATGTCAGACTTCGGAGGCTCCAGAGGCAGCAAATAACTACCAGATGGCCCTGACCCTCTCTTTGCCTTTGACGCAAAGCCTTCGTCTGAGCCTTCCCCAGACTCCAAGGCTATTCCATGTTCCTCCCCAACCTCCTCACTGTCCAACTCTGCTGGTCACT